CACAAGGCGGCCGTGGAGATTTAGTACGATAGCAAGAAACGGGCGGCGCAGCAGACTCTTGACGACCCATTAACAAGCCTCGCCGCGCCGTCACGACAGCCATGAGCCAAGTTATGTCCCTTTTATCACCTCATTATGCCATGCCGGCTCTCAGTGAGGCACCTGCACTCGGACCGGCGGGCGCAGAGGGACAGGGCCTGGCGAGGGGAGTGCCTGATCTGGAGGGCCTCGTGCCGGGCTGCCGTCGCTGTTGTATGAAGACAGACCCGCGGTTAGGAATTATGAGTGGGGGAGTTTTGCTATAATTCTGATCATATTAAATGTATATGATGTGATTCATTTTATCTTCATCAGGAATACATTTGTAATTTTCTTCAATGAAAATACACATGAAACATATAAATAATAAACATGTAATCCAAACGCGGCAAGTACGTCTCTTGCACTGTGAAAATATATATTCTCATTCAGGTCCTGTCCTGTGAGTAGTAGATGGTCAAATCTGATTGTGTAAATTTAATTTCTAAATTGAGATCTCCGACTCTTCTTCCTAGAGTGAAAATCTCCTTAAGATCCTTTATGATTTATTAAAGTTACGAATATTCGTAGTTCTTTTAATTACTCTATCGAGGATGATCTAACATAAACACGCACGAACACACACACATACAACCACACACACACACATAATAACATGTAGGTAATTCATAGTATCTACAGCAAATTCCATTTCAGCGTATTTACATGTGTAAACTGAAATGCTTTACAAATTTATGTTCACTAAAGCAGGATTTCTATAAAACACTCAAGTTCCTTATATTCTCATATGTTATAACCACACGTAAACTGTTTAGCTATAACAAACACACACACACATTACGTCACAAGAACATGATCTCGAAATGCCCGCGAGTTAAGCGTATCATTAGTGTAATGTTTCTTTAGATGGCAAGTGTGATCATTAGCATTAGCACTTGGATGATCCCTGCCTCGTATTGCAAGAGCTGTCCCCTTTGCTGTGTAACGGTGCATGGGAAGTGCAAGTGGCGAAAGGGAGAGGAGAGAGGGGACGCGAGTGGAAGAAGGGCAGGAACATAGCGAGGTTAATGAGATGGAAAGATAAAAGAGGCTTTTATGGAAGCTTTTGAGAGAAGGTGTGAACAACAGATGGAAAGGAAGTCAACCAAGACATCAGGATTGTGCTCAGTGGGAGGCGAAGATTCGTCCTTTTTCTAACTTGGGAGTACAGTCAGGAAAGTTTTGTCCTCAGTTCGTTGGTCGAAAGGAGAGAGGATCTCGGACTGCAGTCTGATGTGTATATGGAAAAAAAATCAGTCTTATTGTTTTTTTTCCTATTCTAGCATACATATCAAAGTATAAACAAGTTTGTTTACTCTTTCAACCATGTGAGAAATTTTCTTCCATCCATACTGGTTAGTGAATTGTAGTTTATAAAAGTTAAAATCTTTTCTTTTTCTTCTGAAAATCAACATTATTCCATTAAGGGATTTCACTGAAACTCACGATGGGATTTTCTAGCTTTGGTACGCGCCTCCTTGTGTCCCTCATTTACTGACACTCATATATATATATATATATATATATATATATATATATATATATATATATATATATATATATATATAGATAGATAGATAGATAGATAGATAGATGGATAAATAGATAGATAGATAGATAGATAGATAGTGTGTGTGTGTGTGTGTGTGTGTGTGTGTGTGTGTGTGTGTGTGTGTGTGTGTGTGTGTGTGTGTGTGTGTATGTGTGTGTGTCTGTGTGTGTGTGTGTGTGTGTGTGTGTGTGTGTGTGTGTGTGTGTGTGTGTGTGTGTGTGTGTGTGTGTGTGTGTGTGTGTGTGTGTGTGTGTGTGTGTGTGTGTGTGTGTGTGTGTTATCACAATAACGACTGCTAATTTTAAGGGTGACAATGTTTGCCTCAGTACTACCATTAAATTGGAGGTTTTAAACGGCTAAAATCCACTTAATTTTCGTCACTCAAACGATCAAATTCAGAACATATTTGGTTAAGGCAGCATAAGATATGATTATAGTTGAAATTTAAAATTTGTTTTTTTGATATACTTTTCAATATTGCTGACGCATCGCAAATATTTCCAATACATATTTCAAGAACCCCTCCTTAAACGCGTCTGCAGATATATCTCCTGTGTATCTAGAATCAATCTCCAATAGCACAAAACGAAACAAAACAAATCTATTCTACTCCCTCTCTACCTCCGTCTTTCTATCCTCAAGCGAGGAGTGGCGAGAGAAAAATGGACCCGGTTACTCGCGAAGGCAATGAAGGAGGAGTTCGGTGAAGGATTAAATCTAATTCCTGAAACTTCTTCGTGATGCTGAGGCGATGCTCTTATCTCATGAAAGTTTTTTCTCTCGTGAAGAGCAGCCATTTATTATGCAAATACATCTTATCTGCAAGAATATTCTATTTATGAAGTTGTATATATATATATATATATATAT